GAAAGCCTGTTTAAATGAATAAGTGAATGGAAAATTTCAAACAGAAAGATGAATTGCTGGGAAACGATTGCCCGGATCTGCACTGTATAAGACAGATTTCAAATGGAAACCCAAACAAGAGGAATGGATGAGTGATTTAGCTTGCGGTGGTTCTGCTGTTTTTGCAGTGTTTATTGATTTTATTTTTGACTAATGGCAGATATTTCTCCATTCACCCAAAAAAAAAAAAAAAAGAAAGACAGGTTGGTTTAAGATAGATGTATAATCGTATAATCTGTTACCTGCTTGTATAAATGCATGTCTCGCCAGGCATTCCTCGATCCTTACTTACACTTTAAAAAGCGAAGGCTGTCCTGTCCTTTTTGAAATTTCTCAAAATTTCTCATACTATTAGTTACCAAATAGTTTGACATGTTGAGAAACATGCTTATTTACTTATTCAACAAATATGAGTTTCCACAATGCCAGACTATTCCTTTAAAAGTAAAATGGGCCATGCAGATCCACAAACATTACGTTGACGGTTTGCATTAATTTATTGCTCTCATTCGTGGGAACGTCACATACCATAACACCTTTAAAATGAGGCCCAAATCTTTTTCAGCTTGTTTTCAGCGCATATATTTGCACTATAAACTGTCCTATGAAAAATGTCTTCACTCTAGTGTTTGCTTAATCTCATTAGAAGCTGGGTTCACAAGAGGAGGCTTTATGATCTGGTCCAGAATTTAAAAAATTCTTTAAGAAATCTAATGTTTCTGGGTGTTAGCCACTTACCTTTACTCAGTTTTGGTTGGGGTGCCAATATTAAGTTATTTTAGAACTGTGAGCCACCCACAAAGAACCTTATATTCACAATTTGAACCAAAAGTGTGAGGATCTGTACTTGGACAGTTGTCTTTTTCCCAAGCCACTCAACATTTGTGAAGTGGTCCTGTTTGGTCTCTGTGGGAGTCCGTCTGGCAGTGTGCATATAGCGGCCTCAGGTTGCTCATCTGTCTGATCCTCCTCTGGGGAGGAGAAGAGCAGCCTGCCGCAAGCCCAGCCAGATGCTCACTGTGGCTGTTAAACAATAACCACTGGAGTGTGCTCCCCCCTCAGCAACACTGTGATCTGTAACTACTCCCAGGGGGCTGTTTAGACAGAGGTCAGTCGAGCCTACAATATGCAAACTGTCCCGAGATTTAAAGTCATAATCTGTGAAATAATGTATCTGTGTTTGTCATTGCTGGTGTTCATTACTATGGTGTTTTTTCACTATTTAATATCAGAAATGTTGCAGACATTGTGTCTAGAGCTCTTTGAGCTTTTTCTTTTGATTTCCCGCTGGAGTTGGGGTCTGTGTATTTAATTATGTATGCACGATGTGTCCACCTACTTTAATTTTTCAAGGACCACCTGCTTTACTTTTTCTTACTTTTTTATTTCAAGGCATCTGATTTCTCAAGTTTCAAGAAGCAATCTGAATGGAAGTAGTGCAGTGTGCACCGTCCGTGTGTAGTTATACCTGAGGCAGTACTGTATAGCATAAGTTACACAAGCAGCTGGACACTACACAAATAATACCAGGTGGTAGCCCTGACTTTACCAACTGACATAGGCATCCTATAAAACTAGCAGCACTGTGCTGCAACAGTGCTTTTACCATTAAAGTGGCCTTGCAACATCTACTTTGACAGACATACAAACCCATATGCTCCACTCCAAACAAACACATTAAATATGATCAAATGTTTGATCACTATGCTACTGTCTCATCTGCTTGCTGTCTATGAGCTGGCTTCCTGGATATCACCACCTAATCTTTTTATGACGGGTGTATATTCGTCATTTCCTGTGTATTTATGTACATATTTACATAGAGTATTTGGTGCAGTCCACCACCGACACTGGTAACCAGGAGCATTTTTTTTCAAACAGCAAACATGATTCTTTTTTGTGATAATCTGAAGGATTAATAGGCGCAGTCTTCAGAGTCAATCCACAGCAAGCACACGTGTCACAGCACATGCCCTGTCTGTGAATGCTGAATGCTTTCCAAGTGTTTTGGTTGTGTCATTAGAGAAGTGCCATTTTTTATTTAACAAGTACATTTTTTCCGTGCTGTGCTACATACTAGAAAGAGGAATGCTTTCAGGAGTGAAAGCTGTCGCACGGCATTGCAAATTATTTGTTCTGACTTAATCTGTGTTGTGTGCGTCTGTGCTGTCACGTGTGCTCCTAATTTTAACCGCAAACATCCTTGAAGCCCTCTAGATTCATTATCGTATTCATTCTGACAGAACTCAGTGGAATAATGAACCTATTAAAAGTGTGTCTGTGAAGTGTGTACTGGAGACAGGTGGACTATAGTGAGAGGGGAGCAGGGTTATCTGGCTGAGCTGAGACACATTTTACAGCCATGAATAAAATATAACAGCAATGCTCTCCAACAACAGCCCCTCCAGCAGTTAGATGACTGCGACCTGTAGGTGGTCCTTTACCAGTAGAGCTGGCCCCAGAGTAATCACTGATAATGATTAACTTGACATGAATGGCTTTGTTTTTTTCTGCTATACCCCAATGGTGGGGTTGTGAAACGGCAGGCCCAGACAACAACAGGACTGATATTTGACTCTTGTCAACATCACAAACACACACTACGAATGTACCTGCTGCCTTGGAGATCATCACAAACAATCAGTAATGTCAATAGCAGGGAGCAGCAGGTACTGTTATTCCAAGAGACTGTTGTTTGTGACTAAAAATAAGAGGTAACACACAAGTGGACAATCCACTCCTATGGGAATATCAGAGTTTGGTTTATAAGGGTACAGTATAAAGGGAGATATGTTGAAAACACAGCTCTTCATAGTTTTATTATACCCATATGACACATATAATACAGCACATTGAGATAGCTTGAGCCAGAGCCACAAATCATCTTTCTTATGTACTTTACTGTCAGGAAGTTTCAGCAAATATATAAAAAAGTTATTTATAAAAGTTTCCTTCTGCAGCTTTAATGAAAATTTGTTATTACACTAACCAACTAAAAAAAAAATTGTCATACTGCCATCAGCAGACTTAGTAGCATAGTGCTGCCTTTTCACTTAATTTGCACACATAGTACAGTACATTTTGTAACAGATCATGATTTCCTAAAAATATGTTTATTTCCAAACAGTCTGCACTACAATGAACAGTTAATATATTTGTTTTTTGCTAACTTTGGCTGTCGTTTGTTGCTGGACAGGTAGTGTACAGTGGGTTTATCAGATCTTGTTGATGAGAGCTGAGGCTAAACCATATAGTAAAGGTTCTGTAAAACCAAACTGATGAACATGGCTAAAATTCTCCATGGAGCTGCAGAGTTGTTGATAATTCTCTGTTGGTGTACCACTGCAAGCAAAGCCTTGTACTTTAAATAGGGTCATTTAATTTAACATACTGACAAATAAAGCATTACACTTACATCATCACAGTCACGAGAGACTGCATAGTCTAATAAAAACACACCTATTTTTTTCATTCCTCTTATTATTGTAACATGGACAATCAAATTTGTTTTGTTTTTTTCCCGCGCCACTTCTGTTGTTTGTCTCAGAGCTGAACAGGAGGAGTAATCAACTGTCCCTCTCATCCTCCCCATGATCCATAGTCATGGCAGCACTGCACCATGGGTATAGTGTTTACTATTGATAAAAACACCAGAGAGATACAGAGACATGGAGTAACACGCGAAGGGATAGAATGATAAAAGAGATTGAGCAATTATGATGTGATTACCACAATTGTCACATTAGCTGCTGTCAATTAAATATAATAATAATAATAATAATAATAATAATAATAATAATAATAATAATAATAATAATAATAATAATAATAATAAGAAGAAGAAATGTTCTTTCTTGTTTGTTTAAAGCCAGTTGAAAGAATAAGGTTTAGTTTTTGAAACACAGGTTTGCACAGGATTTTTTGGTGGGGGAAAAAAAAGCTTTTTACTTTTCAAAAGCAGGTAGAGTTACTCATCCTGTTGCTATTTATAAAGTAGTGCATGTGTTTGCCTTTCGGCTGCCTTTACCCATTATGTGAAAGACAATGTATTTAAAACAGAGGAGCACCAAGACAGCATCAGCATTGATAACAGATTCCATGACAAAAAAGCACCTGCACATGATTTACTCACTCTCTGATGCCCAATTGCATTAGAGTCATTTACACGTCCATAGCCACAGACAGGTTGCACCGCTCATCATTACGTGCCGAGCTGACGCTCAGCTTGTAATCTCTTTCACAGGGAGATGTCTGTTGGCTGTGTTTGCAGTCTACTGGCCCAGATAGGCTTGTGTTGTCTACTGAGCAGGGCGCTGTCCCACATTCACCCTGCTCCTCATTCCCTGAGTGACTAACACATTGACAACAACAGAAAAGTTAATGGATGTGTTATGTCACAGTGGGCGACCGCATCCCACCAGTGCCCCAGATACAGTAGAGAACAGTGGTTTTCTCGTGAACGGTGCTCCAGCTAAACAGAAATAGTGTCATGAATGTTTGATTATTTTTCTGTTTTTAGTTTTTCCATCATTCTTTGTGTGAGTCATCGCTCTTAAAAAGCAGCTGCAAGATCTGACCTATGTGACTAAATTTATGACTATGTTGTATGTAAAGTTTTGGATGAAAGTTCTTGCAATTTGTAAAGCAATGGACTGACTCTGTTCAGCCTGTTACTTTAATTTTTCACTTCATTCCTTGTCTCCTTGTTATTCCAGTAGAATGGTAAATATAGATTAGACACAATCCTAAATCTCGTATCTAAAAATTTTATTTAAAAAAGCAGCAATGAATCACCCCAGATTCAGGGCTGGGTTTTCATTTATTAGAGTTTTTAATATTTTGTCTGTTTCATTGGCATTGGAATCAAGGTCAATCCGACTGTCTGATGAGTGGATGAATGCATTTTCATAGCTCTAATACCCTTTTGTTATAATGAGAATGAAGTCACGCAGTGCACAATATATGTATATCCAGATTCATTTTTAATCGTAAAATATAGGGGGAGAGGTTACATTCATGTGGAACACAGTAACATACAGTATAGGGTGATATGTTGTTCAGCCAGCTTTGTTGTATTTCCAACAGGCTGGCCTATACAGTACACATGCAGTAAAGAAAATCTTTGTCCCTCCCAAAATACTCAGTAAATCTTCTCAATCACGTTATTTAAAAAGGGAGTGCATATGCCGAGGGAGCACATTTCAAACACATTTGCCATGTTACTGACATATTCTAGATTTAAGTACTTTATTTTGCAGTCATGTTCATAACATACTGTACAAGAATATTTAAGTCGGTATTTTGAGTGTTGCATTCATGCTGAAATCAGACCTTGACTATATGAATAATTATAATTCACTACAGAATCCTGGTCAGCCACACATGATTGGTCCAATAGGATGTGCTTTATGTGGGATACAGAACAAGCTCAACAGGGATTACAGCACAGTCCTACTTCCGCTTCCTGAAAAGCGTGCATTCAAAGCAAAAATAAACCCAACCCTTCATTATACTCCACATCTAATGTCACATATACCTGCAAGAGTTTACAACACACAGGGTTATGTAGCTAAATACTGTAAGTGCAATCTAGTTTGGCACAGTTTCAGATATAAAGTGTTCACTCACTTTCTTTGTTGTAAACACAATCTACGACAACAGGTATAGTCACCTGCATACGACAGTGTCTATTTCACAAAGTACAGAAGATAAGTAGAGCTAGTGCTGGGCAATAGAAGGATAATAATATTTATCTCAATATATTTCTTTCTTGATGATGGAATAAAATCATTTCAGTACCTTTGGTCCAGTACCCTTGTTCATCAGTTTACATTATTACTCTTTTCGGTAGCCAGTTGTACTTGTATGGAAAGTGTGGTTTGGTAAAGTATGAACAGTGATGGCCGATTAAAAAATAGTATAGAGAAATAATGTCAATTGAGTTTCCAAAATTGAGCTAGAGATTAAAAAGGTGAGCATCCCGACAGTGAGATTTATATGTAAAATATGTTTTTAAATTACAAAAAATGTTTTTACTAGATCAAGAACCGGTTGTTTCTCGCCTTATTTAATCGTTCTAGTTAGTTTAATTAAATGTCTTTTTTGTTCAACCAGTTCATTTCAAGGACACAGTGACTGATTTTATTTGATGCATTTCAAAGAAAAAGTAGCAGAAATGTTGTATATTGTGATAAATATGGTTATCACATGATATGGTCATTTTTATTGTGATAATATATCGCCCGCAACCATGTAGAGGTAAAACAATTGACTTATCCTCATCCAGTCTCCCTCCATGTACTGTACAGTGCAATCCACCAAGACACGTCTTTTCTAGAGGGATTTCATGCATGGAGCTGGTGTAGACAAAGGAAACAGTCAAGCATGTCACCCCATCCTTTCTGATTCACAGTATTCAGAGATGTCAAAGGGTTAATGAAGGATATACAGTATAGGTCCAGTTTTATGTCCTCTGTGGTCTTCATCAGACTCTGTCAAACAGACCTCCGCTGGCCTTGTGCATGCGCCCTGTTGACCATATCCTGATACATCTTGGACCTGAGGAATCGTGGGTAGGAGTCTTTCTCCATGAGGCTGTAGACTTTAGCTTGGACTTCGTTGAGGCTGGTTGGGGACGGATCCTCCAGGCTCTGCTTAGTCTTTTCTCTGGTGCGGTAGTCAATGTTTACCTGCAAGGATAAGGAGAGCAAATACACATTTTTGAAAGGGGAAGGTCAGTCTCATTAAGAGAAATTATCACAGTCACACACATTGGCCCTAATTCTTGTGTACAGATAAAGTCTGTCGGCCTGATCACTAATTGGATTGCAAAATTAATTTCTTACAAATATAAAAGCAGTGCCTGAAATGGGCCAGTAGTGAGTACCGGCACTTTTGATTTTTGTCTACATGATTACCCTTACTCCTTACCACCACCTCCTGGTGAGTAGGTATGCACCCCTACACATCCCTATAGATGCTTGGTTTTTTACTCCCCCCAGTATTTTGCAAAGACCCACCCTACTCTTACCATTTGAATACCGCTCGCTTTCCAAGCGTGTCAGAGAAACTGCGATTCCCACAAAACCTGCAAAAGGCCCAATCCAGAGCTAGTGTTTGCTTTTGATAAATGTTTACCGCTGCATATTTAGTGAGGTCAATGCAAATTTAAATCAGGTGGTTATAAGAGACTGTTTTGAGTCCGATGTCTTGGAAGATGATACTTCTGAGAGGACCAAGACCATGATTGTTCCATAACCTTTACTTATGGCAGTGGCAGATCACATAAGACTCATTTGATGAATTTGAGGAGGCTATTACCTATTACCTATTTTTGTGATTTAGTTTAGGGTACTCGTTATTGGGAGACAGTCAGTAAACTTTTTTTTGGAGCAGGGACAAGGACAAGGACACAATAATAATAATAATAATAATAATAATAATAATAATAATAATAATAATAATACCAGATCAATGCTAAAAGTAACTAGTGAAATTAGATTTTAGAGGAAAAATACCTAAACATATCACACAAATTATGTTTTGTAAAAATGTATGTTTCTCAGTACACACGAAAAGGAACAAACAACTTTGAAAAAGGAAACAAGGTCAGGTCAATGTATAAATATACCAACATATAGAAACGACTATATACTGATGTTAAAAAAACTTCCCTAGGGAAAAGACACACCACATACACACACACCTCTCTTGGTGCCTGAATATCAATGAACTCCTTAAAGATCTTGTTTGCCTTTGATACAAGCTTGGTTGAGCTCTTGATTTTTTTGTAGTCCTCGCAGGCCATCCAAAACTCGATATTCTCGTCACTGAACTCGGTCTTGAGAAATGTCCGGAAGGCAGCCAGGCCATCTGGAAATCACAAATAAATCGGTAAGGAAGGAGGTTAAAAAAAACCCAACAAAAACATTTCAAAACACATGATTGATACTGCAGCATAGCACCTATTTCTGTGCAGCAGCTGAGAACTCCCTCTTCTATGGATGTTTTCTTTTCCTTCAACATAAAGTGGCTTGATCGTGTGATAATACCCTTCATCCTATGTTGACATTTTTCCAGTGCGTACACACTCTTGTTCCCAGAAGCGGCAAACGACTCTCATGGTTAGAACAAACAAATCGGAAACAAAATACTCCCAGAAAGAGATCCTTTTTATTTTTTTATGTTTTCATCAGTCAAGATAAGTGATCAATTAATGTGTTCCCCCACTGATGATAACACAGAGGAAGGGCATGTTTTTCTATGGGCCTATGTCACGTTGACATGTTATTTCCACCCTTCTCATTTCTGCTGTTTACCTAATAAAGCTGGGGCAGAGCAGAGGGGATGGTCCATCTGTGCATATGCAAAAACATTACTCATACAGAAACCCAGAGTCTTATGAGTGTACACGCACGCGCACACACGCACACACACACACACACACACACACGCACACCTGCTGTTTAAAGAAGTCCCCAAATAGCTCTGGTCACAGGAAAGCTGACATCATAGGCAAACAGGGAATCTTCAAGCATTTACGGTGTTCCCTCTGGTATACTCTAAGTTTTTAGAAAGTGCATGGAATGGATTGTCCCTTAAGCGACACAGTAACACCTTGTTCACATAGGCTGCCTGAGCGGCGCGTGACTGCTGCGTCTCACATGCTCGCGAGTGTGTCAGCTGCATGGCTGCTGCTGATGAATAAAATATTCAATTTCTGCCACGTTGTACCAATAGATCCTCCTAAAATCATACACACTGGACCTTTAAGTCAAGTTCCTACGACGGAGTATTAGGGCCAGACTTTTTGGGAAATTACGAGAATAAAGTCATAATACTACAAGAATAAAGTCATAATATTAGGTCTACGAGAATATAGTCGTAATGTTACTAGAATAAAGTCGTAATAATACGGGAATAATGTAATAATACAATACTCCATCGTAAGTTCCATAGTTCATCATTTCATACATGTCAATAAATCTGGATAAGCACCCAAAATGTAATTTTTGCAACAAAAATGTAATGAGAATTTCATATGAAGTCAACAATTAAGGTGTTGGGGGGAAAAAGCAAAGCAAAACAAAGACTGAAAAGATAAAAAGTTGTGATTTCCACAAGAATATTTGTGATACATGTAGTACAAATATGTTGATATTTCATACTGAAACAAACCTAGCGACAAAAGATGAGAGAACAGGTTTGTGTGTGTAGTCTCCATTACATCTGCAAGAATTACATTAGTCCCATGCCCAATTATCCAAACAGTGTTCAGAGTATTCAAATGTAAGTCTAAAACTACTGAATGGTCTCTTATCTGTACTAATGGAAAAATACAACATATTCTTTTAACCTCTACAGATAATCTTGTAAAGGTCAGCTAAGTATTTTATTGTGCAGTATTTATGAAGATACACCTCATTTCTGAAATGTCCTGCTCTAAGTGTTTTGATTGCATCCCTGCAGTCCAAGACAACAACAACAAGTTGGACACACATTTACCAGTTAAGGTGTGTAAGGCAAAGGTATTCTGTCAATTTTTCTACTTAACTAAATTATGTTTATAATATGTGTTTTTCTCACTCAAATGCATTGTGTGCATTCTTAAACCTGCCATAACGGATTCTAGGGGTCATTGTGAGATGTGTTTCTGGCCACATGGTGAACTGAAATCCAGCATTTAGCTCTGTTTTTGGTCTCTACCAACTCCTGAGGGAAATATCTGGCTCTAGCTGTTAGATGCTCTACTATGCTCGTTAATTGTTTCTGTCTGTTTGGTGCTAAGCAGGTAGTGTACCGTGGTTTAAAGCATTTTCACTGAAAACAGCTGCAGTTGAAACAACACTATGAGAGCAGCGAAGTTGTCTTATTTTCTTCGCTGTTGGTGCATTGTTAATTGACACAATTCTGCCACCAACAATTAATCAGCAGAATAGCATGAAACAAACAGCAGTATGTGATTGATACCGCATGTGTGCTCATGACACAAACAAAAATGGGACCTAAACACATTTTCCCATAGTTAGCAGACACCCAGCAAAGAACAGTTCAGTGTTAAGGCCAAAGGTCTGTAGCTTGGTAGGTGGTTAGACTTGGGTGAACTGACTGAAGACGAAGACTGAGTTGAGGCAAGACTCCACAGCAGGTTAACATGAATTTAGCAGGGACCGTAACTCAAAGTCAGTGCAGAAAGGGAACTTAATGAACTGACTGTCCAGAGACTCAAGCTTAAATACATTAAAGCAATTAGGAGTGGCTGGGAGTAATGAGGACATTGCTCGGCAGCTGAGACAATCAGTGGGGGAGTGGGTGAATCCTCATGTGGCACACTGGGACCAGCCAAGATTTTAGATAAAAAACACGTCGTTGCTATAAGCTTAAAATACAACTGCCATACTAAATCGTTGAATATCGTTTGAATGCCACTCTGGATCACAACCTCGACTGTAACCTTGACATAATATGGTGGAAAGGCAGTGTTTGTCAACTTCACAGAATGTTCTTGCACTAACAAGACAGGTAATAGCTGACAGGTCAGGTCAAGCTCCGAGCACATACACACTGAGGAATGACACTAGAATGCAGTCAGTAATATACTATCCCTCCTTTCTAAATGAAATTAAGCCAAGAGAAATTCAATATCCTATGAAGGGAACATTTAGTAGTGTGTTCTTATGGCTTTGACATGTAATGTATGTGTGTGTGTACATGTAAATGTTGTAGTTCACCTCTCTAATGCTTGGTCAATTGAAACAGGATACGCAGGTGTATCACGCTCTCGCTGCTTGGGAAAGGCCCTATTCTTGGCTCCATAACAAACTTTATGTTTTCCGTAGGTGACATTAGCCTTCTAATGGTTATGTGTCAAACCAAGGTGTTATGTCATAACCTTGTTCTGAACAAAACAGATAATGCTCATGAGAGTGCAGAATGTTAACAGCTTTCTTTCATTCAAGACTGGCTGACTCCAAGCCCTTTGTTAGTACAGTGTTTAAATATAAAATACAACCCAGGCATCACAAAAACATCAGCAGAAAGTACACTGAATATAGTTTTGGCAGTCAGAAGTGATTATGGATGTGCTGAAAGTATTCATATCCTACAAGAAAAAACGACTTCCATCAGTAGCAACTGGCAAGAAAAGTGGATTGAGGAATCTGGGAAGCAAGGATGTTGCAGCCACATCCATTTGCATAGTCATGACCATATCTAAAAATCAAACATGCTTGGACCAGTGTGTAGGATTTAGTGGCATCTAACAGTGACGTTGCAGATTGCACCATTTGAATACAGTTCAGCCTTCCACGCGTGTAAAAGAAACTACAGTGGTCACAAAAATGTGAAAGGCTCTATCTACAGCCACCCAGAACACAGCCCTCTCTTACAGTTACATCAAAGAAAATAATTGGCATAATAATTCATAATGAACACAACAGTTAGTTGCAGCCCTAGCAGAATGTATTTCTTCTTCACAAAACATTAGAAGTCTTTTTCTGGCCAGCTATTGCTACATGTGTTGGGGGATACCACCACAAACTATGGATCATCGAATAGCAAGGCATGCATGCACTTCATGTTTGCTTGTTTGCAACGCCCATTGCAATTGGCAGGAAGGTGTAGAGTGTGCTTGAGGCACTGGCATAGTACCCATACTAATGTATACTGAGTCTGGGGGTTTTCTTGGTTTCTGCTTGTGGCACAGTCATGGTTGCTGTCACTGCTAATGCAAACTAGACTTTTAGTTTTACTTTACTCCAAGCGACTTAAAACATAAAACCATGTTCTGTTCAAGATGTTCTGCTTTTACTTGTTTTCAAGAAAAAAAGAGTTGTAAGAGTTTTTATTTGAATTGTCGTCAAAATCGTACCAAGAGGAACACATCTTTCTCTGCTTGTTCCAGAATAAGTATTCTTCTACTTACAATGTACTAATCAGTTTCTTAATCCACAAAGCAGACTTTCGGGATCAGGACCCAAAGACAGTTTACATATCAGTCAAGCGTTGATCTCAGTCAGAGAGGAGCAAGAGTGTTTGCTGTTTATGATGAAATCTCTCAAGGTGGACATGCTCTGAATCCACTTGTGTTTTCTATAATCTGTCAGTTCAGTAAGTTTGATGTGCTACGTCACATAGCTTGTTAGCAGTTAGAAAATAAACACATGACCTGTTTGTGCGGATGGATGTTTGTGAGTGAGTCTATCTGTGTGTGTGTTTGGTCCAAGGGGAAGGTCACAGACAAGTGTGTGTGACTCATTATGCAGTAAGGAGTCCTCACAACACAGAAATGAGACCCTTACATAAGATGGGCTTGGAGGGGAGAAATAGACTGGCTTGTGCTGAGTGAAAAATAGAAACTATTAAAGAAAAAGGAAAGGACAATTTTACTGCTACAGTGTGGCCTTAATTTCCGTGGTGCTGACTGCGTGTGACATGTGTAGTAGGGACTGTTCGCCCCAAAACATACAAAATGTCCACTTACATTTGTGAGAGAGGAGATGATCAAAGGATTCTGACCATCGAACAACCTCATCCGTTGACAGTCTGATGAAGAGAAAGCCAAAGGAAACCACCTGAGTAAGATGCGAACCAACCACTGTGCTTTCATGCATTTTTAACACGTATGTATGGAAGGGCAGCTGAGTTCAATGTATGATTTATCCTCTGCTCACACCTGTTCTTACACTCCAGGCTGTAGAGTCATTGTAATTCACATTTACAGCATAATGAAAGGATGAAGGAGAGACAGAAGCTGACATTTGTTCTCATTTTAATGCTCTTTTGTAAAGTGGTGAAAAAATGAAGGGATAATACACTAGCTTGGAGATTAAATGGATACATTAACATGATTGTACCCCTCAAGACCCCCTACATAACAAATCCCAATTTAACCCCTGGGTATATGGAACATTAGGCTATTTGTGAAACACAATAACAATGTTATATATTTAAAACCTCTGCCATGGTTTCTCCTATTAAGGTTATGATATGGTTATGTGTTTGATCACCTTTCTTGGTTAGTTTGCAAAGAAATGGTTGAACTAATTGACAAAAAGAAGGAAAAACAAATCTTACTCAAGTATTTTGATTATGGCAGTGCGTTAGGCAGCGTTAAGTGTAAACCAAATGAATCACACTGAACAATATTTCTCTATCGGCAAACATTTGCAGTGGCCTTGTTAAGTGTCAAGCCTGTTTCCAGCAAGAGTAAAACCCCACTCTTGATTTGAGGAAAAAAATCAACAATAGTATAAAATTGTGTTATGCAAATGTTTGGTATACTGAACAACAGGAATTTAAATTGCTAATCTATGCTGCTGGCATGCTGGCTGACTGAGGACTATAAAATAAATAAAAAAAATAAGATAGATATTCCTTCAAAAGTTTGGCAATTTAAAAATGAATTTCAAAACATGTTCAAGCTATCTAACACAATTCAATTCAACTCAATTTTATCTGTATAGCGCCAATTCATAACAGAAGTTATCTCAGGACACAGGAAGCTTGAGTTTTAATTTGTTAAAGATGTGTAGTCCCACAGAATTAGACACAGTATATTTTGGCAGACTCACTTCAGACATCGGGCGGTGGTTTCATGGGCAGGAGGCAGGAACTCGGAGAAGTCACTGTAAGAGTCCGATTTGTTAGACAGGCAGCCTAGTCTGGTCTTCATGGTGTTGATCCTGCTGAAAAAGCATACAATACCTAATGTATTCTCTGACTGTGTATCTCAGCATATAGCTAAACCCTTGTGACAAAGACAATGCCTTCTGTGGGGTGAGGATTCACATGTAAGTGCATGAATGAATGAATTGTCAGACAAACAGAGACATTTTTTCCACATACCACTGAGAAGCAAGGTTGTGACCAGAGGGTTTAAAAACCAAGAACCAGCTCCTTAACTGGAAAACCACATGTTCAGTCAATTTCCAGGAATAATTGAATTGAAAATAAGTGTTTGCATTCATTAGTGTTTTAGCTTCATGTAGTTGGGCTGCACCTTGTATATTTAGACTATGCATACATTCTTAAATATTATTGGAAGACCTGTTGAATAAACTGACTGTAAGACACAATGCATGGGAGATAAGGCCAACTGACTGGACAGGATAGGACTGGAAGTAGACACCAGGTGCAACTCCATATGCAAAGCTGATTCAGTATGAGTCCACCTCATTCACAAGGGAGCTTCAAATATCCCTGATACCCAAGTTCACATCCTGTTAAGGTTTTTTGTTTGAGTGTTAGTTTGCTGGGTTTAAGAAGACCTCCTACACAACAATTCATGACTGCAACTGAGTTCTATGCAGGCTAAGATATGGAGGCAGCACTGCCTCTGATAATTTCACTATTCTCCAGCTTGCATTAACTCACAGTATGCTTTATAGTTCTGTGCTATCTTACACAGACACTCCACTGCTCAGCTTATTTATTATTAACCAAACAGAATAAATGACACAATGAAAAATACTGGTTAGGCGTAGTCATTTGTTTTCTATGGAAAATATAATGTGTATCAATATTCTTTAAGATGGATCTTAATTGTGGTTATGAAAAAAAAACCCAGACTGAAATGAACCATATCCCCGTCTCTCATCACAAGCTGTCCTATCTTATTTGTACACTGCTGCTGTCATGTGCTGTTTGTCAGTGTTCTGCCTCAGGGACACATGGGTCACTCCAGATGGGGCATGGTTGTAAAGATGGTCCATCAAAGGCCAAACATTTCTGTAAAAGTAAGTCTATCTCACAGGAAAAATTATTGAAAATCATTGGATAGACAAACTGTCTTAATACATTCAGGGAAGATCCTCTATTGAAGATATTCCCTGTGTTTACATCAATGATGGCTCACGATCCAGAAAGCAAATACGTGTTTTTCTTTGCTTTAATAGAGCATTGAGTTAATTTATTCATCAGCCAACCTCACTAGAGAAATGGCCGTATAGATCGTTTGTGGAAGTGACTTATTATTATTATTATATTATAAATTATTGTTAGTCAGTGAACTCTAGCTGCCACAGTAATCATGACGAGATCAAGGAAGTCAGGTGATGTAGTAGAGTAACAAAGTCTGCATAGGGATGAGGTCGGGGTGGATGGATGGGTCAAACACACCCAGACTTTCACCCAGGATGCCACGTTCATCTTCGTGTCCCATGTGAAACCAAAAGTCAACGCTGACTTATTTGAACTTTCATACGTAAGTAAACTTACATAAAATACTTCAGTAAACTTTTTCTAACCAAACTACGACCATTGTGGCAGGTCGGTAGAGCGAAGGTCCGGTGTGACTGTCACTGGTAGTGTTCAATGGTTATACATGTCCTGTTGGGAGTCATTGGCTATGACATATTCATTTGCTTATGTATGAGGACGTTGTATTTTATTCATCAAGGTACTTCAAATATATATATTTATATGTGTTCTACCTTTTCAAGAGAACCCTAGAACCTTAAATGCTTACTTTGTAGCAATGCTTCATTTACACAACACTTCCTTTGGTTTTATGTATATATACTGTTTATGTAATCACGTAATCTCATTTGAGATCGAGATCTCTTTTGCAAGAGAGACCTAGTGCAACAGAGAGAAAGAAAAACAACCATAACCACACATAACAAAAAGACAACTGCATACGAAGAATATAGACACAACAGAAGCACATTTAGCATCTGAGAAAGCTTAAAATTAGACAGTGGGATGCGACATCAAGTTTAAAAATCCTCTGTAATTCATTCCATTTATAAGGTGCAAAGTTGTAGAAGGCAGTCTTACCAAGTTGACTATTTTCCTGAAGGATTGCTAGTTTGGTGAGTAGTGGTTTTAAATGGGAGAGAAGTGCTATCCTGACTTTTTACTTTTACAGGAGACCTTTTATAAATTAAAAAAGTAAAATGTAGTTCTCTTCTTGGTGCTAGTGATGACAAGCCTACTTTTTTATATAGTACACAGTGATGAGGACAATATTTGTGTGTGTATAAATATATATTCCATTCATTGTATTCATCCATTCACCTTGGATGTTTTTGCTGTAGTAGTAGAGTTGGAGGGGTGGATTGTTTTGATGCTTGGACCTTGAATTGGGAACATTGCATGAAATGTACTGTTCATTAGCCAACCGAAATCCATTTGCTGGAATTAATGTGCTTCAAAGTGTTGTGTCCTCCATTTACCTCTGCCGGGTTGTTTTGAGTTTGTATACAGGTGTGTGTGTGGGTGTGTATGCATGAGAGACAGCATGTGCTTTTGTGTTTGGGTTGGAGCAATATATCAGGTTTCTGATATTGCCTTTAAATGAAAAGTGGATGTCAGTTCTCTTTGCCATTAAGTGTGAGTGTCAGAGAGGAATATGAGTTTATACATAGAGAACACGAGTTAAAAAAACATCACATCACACTCTACATTGAGGAGTATTTGTTTGGGTTTTTGTGGATAGTTAATAGCCTACACGCTCTTACAGAAGCTATTTTAACAAGCTTCTCAAACCAGAATAAATATGAGGAAGCACAACACTGAAGTGTACTTTGCAGATTGTTTTGGATGCAATGTAGATTTGATGATTTCTGCCCCAGAAATATCTGTGTTATGTATCAGATGTTATGTATAAAACACATGCACTGGCCTGGAAAGCTAGTTTGTCATATCTGTGAGTCATAACCTCAAGGTGCACTTCATTTGTTAATGAATAGTTATTTTCAGAGGGGTTTGCAAAAATAATAGGCAGATGTATTTTTAGTATGTACAGACTGTTAATTTACTTGAGTGCACTAGTGAGCGTTGAGCTTTATGTCAGATTTCTCCATGGCTTGTGGAAGGTTATAAAAGAGTGTTGTTAGAATGAATGTCTTGGATGAATGACGGCCGTAATGCCAACACCACTAACACTACATATCATAGTCATATGGTCACTAAATTCTAATGGGTCTTCCTCTGAAGAGCATGAATGTGCTAATGAAACTGGCATGGCACCCATGATATTGTTACTCCGTGTGAGTTACATTTTGGTGTAAGGTTGGTCCGAGAGAAAAGGTGAGAGGACCACTAAAGGTAAATGGATACATCCTCTGGGGAACATGATTTTGCTCAGTAGCAGTAGTAGTAGTATCAGTTAACAGCAGTTAAAACCATCTCACCACAAAGTCCATTTATGCTCTTCTGGAGCTTTTGATCGTATCACACAGCAGTCCTTAAAGTGTCCTTAAAGTGTTCAGAACCTACTATTCCATGACAAAATTATTTGAAAGCTCCAGAAAAGGTACTAAATGGATATTTTTGTCAATTAGGCCCCATTTTCTGACGACCACGAATATCCATATCACATTTCATGACTATCTGGCTAGATGCAAACATTTCTTGGTCTGGACCATTGCACATTATTCAGTTAATCAATCACTGTTTCTGTTTCAGAATCACAACATTTTGATGTTATTTCCTTTTTTGTTGAGGTTTGCTCCTACTCTTTGTTCTTTTAAGTAAAGGTTTAAAACATTTCTGTTTACCACAGTCTTGTAATAAATTCAATCTGTGACGTTTTAAACATGTCTTTTTATATTACCTTATCTTTTTTATCTTTTCCTGTATCTTCTCTTAACATCTTTTTATATCTTAGGTAAAGCACTTTGAATTCCCTTGTTGCTGAAAGATGCAATACAAATAAACCAGGCTTGGCTTGCTTAGCCCTCGTCGATGGTTTCATTTCAGTCATATTCCAAGACTGAGTTATGGTTTTTAAGCTTTTCTCCCCTCCAACGGGAGCATTATGTAGGCAACCCCAGTCATGGAGTGCACAATTAGATAATTATAGATAGCAATAAGTAAAAATTAGAGCTTATTTCACGCAGATTGAATATATCAACATATCGCTGTCAGACTGCAATTAGTGCTTTGAGTTTCATGTAAACACATCTTGCCTGAAATTCTTATGTGGCATGAACACATGGATATTCAAATATGAAAAATTGGCACATTGGACAGCAGCTTTAATATATATTGAAAGTGCAAACCAGCCTTTAACCATTTGTTATGATTGAATTTGTATGTGTGTCAGCATGTCCCTTTTTCAGCAGACAAAGGTCATCAAGTGAAGTTGATGAGGAGAGACGTGGACATATTGATAAGTCAAACTGTCAATAACATGATAACAGACGTCTCCCTCCTCCTCTTCCTTATGCCTTCTGTCCTCGCCTCTCTTCCTCTCTTTTGACAAATCTGTATCTTTCTGGCTGTTGTAAGCTGCGTTCTTCGTCTGCAGTATGGTGCAGACACGTGCTACTGCTGAGCTATTTATAAAAATTCTGACAAATCCATGTAGTCAGGAGGAAGCAGTGCATGTTCTATTCAGCCATGCAGCAAGGCCGGCTCCTGGAGGAAAGAGGCTAAAAACAGCAACAGCACTCTAATGTCTCAGATATACACAAGTTTGCCTCATGAATCTAAAAGTACAGGCAACATCCGCTAGACCTCCAGTATGTGAGATGCCCGTTGGGGTTGGTGGATTAAGAAGTAAAAATCTAGATCATGGAAGTAGTAGTGTCTGTGTGTATGAATCTTCTTTGATGTTACCTAACTTGGTGCAATGCAGGTTTTCACATTTCTCTCCATGTCCTCATTTCTGGATACTGCAAAGACACCCTGCAGTTCTATGTACATTATATAGCTGAGGTGTTGCAAAGTGATTATGAAA